AGCAGCCCCACAGCTGGGGGAGTTGCAGATGTTGCTTCTGTTGGAAAGGCAAAACAGGAATTAACATAATAAAATAAAATTAAAAATTGAAACAAAACATGCTGAGTTTTGGGAGGAAAGGGAGGAAAAACCTCAAAAGTTGTGGAAATCCTGACTTTCTAAAAGGAACACAGAGTGGTTTTGTTTCTTGCAGGCTTTAATCCGCTGCTCCCCAACATGGGGCAATGCAGGAGGTGATGGGAGAGACCCCAGCATGGCCAGCACAGCCCCGTCCCCATCCCGGGGGTGACAAAAGCCCCCAGTGGGACTGGTGCTCCTCAGCCCAGCCCCAGCCCCAGCCCCAGCCCCGGGCCAGGGCGATGTCGGTCTCTGTGCTGCTGGGAATGTATTTTCTGCCAGAAAAGGCCATTTCCAAGCCCTTCTGTGGGGATGTTTCCATCTGGATGATGCTGTCTCCGTGGTTTGCAAGGCCCAAGGCTCTGTGCTCACTTCAGACCAAAGGGAAGGAGAGGCAGAGACAGGAATCAAAAAAACCCCAACAAAACCAACCCAATTTCATGTAGAAAACCCGTATTTCAGCCATTCACGTGCACCATGGTGGGCTCTGGACACGGGAAGGCAAAAGTAAAGATCCCATCGAAGCTGTGATGCTGCACTGTGAAGCTTTGTGAGCCAGAGCCACCCTCGCCCCTTTGCTCCGATCCATCCTTCGACACCCCCAAAGGACAGCGCTGGGGGACCAGGGTGGGCTGGGACGAGCCCCCAGCCCCACAGACACAGTCACTGTGGACAGACAAGGTGTTTCCAGCCAAAAAATACCAGATTCTGGCAGCGACTGGGGCATGAGGGGCACCATTTACCTCTGGATCGATAGGGAGGGCAGGATCAGGCCTCACTCCCGGGGACAAGAGAGGGACCATGGCCATGTGCTGGGGGAACCAACAGGAACTGGAGCTGAGCACCAACCCAGCGACCAGCCCCAAACACGGCAAAGGGACAGGATCAGGAAACACTCGAGCAAAAACTGCTCGTTTGCAAGGAAACGGGCAGCAACGCTTCCCTTCCACTGCCCGAGATGGGATGTGAGCTGCATCCCGCAGCGCGTCCTCACCCACCACAGCACACCCGCTCCTCTCACCTTTCACGTTATCCCCATTTTCCTACTGCATTTTCCTGCTGTGATGGCTTTTCGGGAGGGTCCCGTTTCTGTGCTACGTGACAGCACCCAACAGCGCCCAGCAAAACCAGAACCAACACTCACTCTATCGCATCCCTCGCACCACCCACATCCTTCACCCTGACAGAAACCAGCCCAAATACACCCCGACCCGCAGATGGGCTTTGGGAAATGCCACACCCCAGCAGACCCACCCCATTTTAATTTGAATTTTCCCCCTCATTTTAATTGTAATTTTCCAGCCCATTTTAATTTCCACTTCCCATTTTAATCTTGCAGCTGCCTGCATGGTGGGAGGGTGGGCAGCAGCACCTCGCTCGCTGCCTGCAGCTCCCCAGGCACCCGTACACCCCTAATCTGCAAACAAACCCCAAAAAAGAACCCCAAATCTTGAGGTTTATCACCTTATCCTGCAAATATTCAGCTGCTGGTTATGAAGCATCCTCGGAGCAGCCCCAAGCATCCCAATGATGAGACGAGGTGGGACCATGTGGCATCGAGAGAACATTTAATGGTCCCATCGGGCTCCACTCAAGCAAATTCCCCGGTGGGCTGGGGCTTGGTAAGGGGACATCCCCCCCTCATCTCATCCCCCCACTCCAACCCTGTGGAAATGAAGAGCTGTGGGGGGCGGTGGGGCCTGGCCCACCCTATATCCCCATCCCGTGGTTTGTGATGGGTTTGCTCTGGAAAAAACACCAGGAGAAGGGTTTGTAAGGCCCAGGGGAGAGCTGCCAGGAGGGGACATCACTCCCTAGGCCAGGGCTGCTCTGGGAGCAGCGGGTCGGGACCTTCCTCTTAGCATCTGCTTAAAAACACCATCCCCAAACTCCCCTGGATGTGGGGTTTTGGGGTCGCTGGTGGGTGCTGGGAGCCGGGGTGATGGCCTGTGGTGTCACGGTCCCCAAGGGAAGTCAGACTCGGGCACCTCCCTCCATTCCCACCGCCCAGGAGCTGGGCCGGGGCTCGCCGCGGCTCGGGGGCTCGTTTTCCCCGCAGCCGGTCCGAGGGCGCGCCAGTGCTCTCCAGTTTGGTGTAACCCACCAGGGTGAGCTGGTCCAGCCGGGGCCAGCTCCGGTTCTTACGGTCCTTCATGGGGGCCACCAGCAGCACCCCTGGCCGGCCCAGGTCCAGGGACTTGGAGTGTCCCGGGGTGTGGAGCTGCGCATCCAGGCCAGTGCTGTGGCCATGGAGTAGAGACCCTTCTGCATCAGCCTGCGGGTCTCCATGTCGCGGTTCTCGTACAGCATGGTGTTGGCGCAGATGAAGATGAAGAGCCCGATGCCCATGATGACGGGGCCAATCAGCTTCAGCTTCTCGCTGTGGGG